CCCCCCCCCCCCCGCCCCAAGCACAGCCCTCCCGGTCTTTCAAAGAGGGAGGGAGAAGCGGGAGGAGCAAATTGCCGCCCCCGCCCCGCTGCCCAGAAGGAGGGGCGCCACAGTCCACCCCCACCACCTTCTCCCCCCCCCACTCCCCGGGCCATTACGCGGCTCGGGGCTGGCTGGGCGAAGCGGCCCCGCCAGAGACCCTCCCGCTCCACCCCCACCCCACCTCCAGATTGGCCTCCGCAAGCGCCCCGAGCCGGGCGGAGGGTGGGTGGGTGGGTGCGAGGAGGAGGAGGAAGAGAGACTTCGGCTGGGCTTGAAGGGGCTTCGCAAGTTGCGGAGCTCCGCCCCCGTCGCTCTTGCACCGAGTGACAATGTATTTACCGGCGTATAAGACGACCCCCCCACTTGGAGGCATGTTTTTTAGGGCAAAAAAGTCGTCTTATACGCCGGCAAATACGGTAGTTGGTTTCAAATGTTGGCCTGTGAGAGTATTGTAACAGGTCTGTAATGCCAAACCTAAATTAAAACATTTCTGGGGGGAAAGTGTGAGAGCTTATAAGATTCTTCTGAAGTCTAAACCTTATGCTGTTCAATCATTAAACTGCTGAATGAACATAGAAAAATAGTCTTTAACATGAGGTTATGGGGAGAAAGTATAAAAGTTCTAGTTACACAATAGCTTTAGGTACATTATTTATTAAACTGCAAAGAATAGCAACTAGAGCATCAGATTGCCAGTTCTTTGTCAAAACAAATGCCTGAGGAAACATTTGTTACTATATTTATAGTTAATGTATGAAAATGAGATCAACAACAGAAGAATGCATCCTTGCTGTAAAAGTTCAAAAGAAGAAATTTAATATCCATTTTTAATTTGTTCAATTAGAGGTGTAAATTAGTTTCCAAAGGGTTCCCCCCCCCCCCCCAACTTCATGACTGAATGAAAGATCTGGTATTGCAATTGTAACAATGCCAGTCCCCATTTGGAAGGATAGCCAAAAATTAATTGCATTAAAAATACGTCTTGAGAAATAAACATATGTCGTAATAGGTAGCTGCAGGCTATTTTAATACTTGCTTCACTTGGGTTGTAAATATAACTATTTCTGTTTCAGATGGAGCAAATAAAAAGAGCAAACAAACTTTTCACAAATGACTGCATATTTCTTAGAAAAACATTAAATATCCCAGTTATATTGGAAAAGGCTTTGCTGTTTAATGGGTGTAACTCACTGGAGTCTCCAGAGGATGATACTGGCAATCCCACTTCTTGTGAAGAAAGTCCCGTGACGGTTCAGGAAGACAGTTCTTCCCCCAGTCCTCAAGAATCTGACAATCGACTTCCCCCACCCGAAGAGCTCTCTGCCAAAGATTTTCTGCATAGAATGGATGTGCAGATTAAATTGTCCAAACAAGCAGCTAAGAAATTAAAATCTGAAGATAACAGGTAAAATCTTATTCACCTCTATCTAAAAGATGTTTTTATTTTAAACTACTGAGAAACTTTAATAGATGGTAATATAATAAATAATAGTAGTAATAGAAAACACTATATAAAACTGTTTTTAAGACAACTACTTAATTTCCAATAGCATTATTGCAAATGATGCGAAAGCAAAAGTTTGGACTGTGTCTAGTATTACCTTGTCTTTCCATATTGAATTGATGAGGGAAATTTTAGGTGTGTGTATGTGAGAGAGAGAGACACACACACATATATGACACATCCCAAATCAGTCTGGTAGAAATAGAAGGGAATTAATTAGATACACAGGAGACTGCAGTGACCTAGAGCTGAACCAATAATATTTCTAGTTAAATTACTGAAGGCTTAATCCAGAAGAGATGAGGGCAGAGTGGAGAGAAGGGAGACGGTGCAACTTAATGTCAAGGACAACTAATGACAACACATCACCTGTTTTCTCACTTGCGTTAAAGTTCTTGCATGATACATTTGCTGCTCAGAAGAATAACATTTCTGCAGCAGTCTTCAAATGGCTTAATTTGAAATAATCCTGTTAAAATTGGATAAACTTCTGTGGAGTAAATTTTAAGCAACTGCATATTTTCATAAATTTCTTTTTTCCTCAACAGGGAATATGGTGAGGAAAATTCCTATGCAATTTCTTCCTATCAGCAGTAGAAAATGGGATGCAAGCAGTTTTTAAAGAACTAAATATTTGATGATTCAGAAGATCTTTCGGATTGATATATTGTACTTGTTACAAATCATATATAAAAATTCCACTGATTGTTGCACTAAAAGTATTTGAATGTTTGCCTTCTATAGGTCAATATTCTTTTACTATTCATTAATAAAGGAAATGCTTCTCCAAAATATTGCCTTTATATTTCTGCTAAAAATGGCACACTAGCAACAATATATTCCTAAGAGAACTTCAATACATTTTTTTTGTTTTTGTATACATACATACATACATACATACAAAAGATAATATTAAAGGAACAATCATTTATTTTAAAAAAAGCCCTGTGAAGTCTTGACTCAGATATGTTTGTAATGCAAATTTTGTGAACTTGATGCTGATGGATGCACCATGATTAAGTTGTATGTTTATGCACATCTGTATATGTCTCTCTGTGTTAACATATATAAAGATAATGCTCTTAAAGTGAATCAGTTTTAGCCAACTTTAAGGAAAAAGAGTTGGGCTTTTAAAATATGTATGGTAAATTATTTTGTTTGGAAAACAAGGGACCAAACAGATTAAATTGTATTTTTTTTCTTTGTGAAAAGGTGGAATATATTTTCTTGTTAGCACACATACATAGTTTCATGTATTGAATATAAAATGCACTTTAAACAGTTATTGCCTTTGTTGTTTGGCATTGCTTTGCAACTTCTGTACTTTTCAGATATGATTTGTTTCATATGCTATATTAAAATTTCTTAAGTTATACTCTCTTTGCTCCTTTTTCCTACTATATGATCTTTATTTAAAAAAAGAATAGTTTGAATACAATTTTGTCAGTATGTGTCTTGTAATTCTCAGAAGGAGAATATTAATATTCCAGCTGAGGAAGACAAGACCACAGGATGTATAACTTCATCCTGTTTTGGTAATGAGAACAATGTATTGCATGCTTGAGTGGAGCTGCTCAGTCTAAAACCAGTGTTACATAACTTGTTTAAAGAAAACTCTTGTGTGCAAATAAAACAACTGGAGCCTTTAGATTCGAAGAAACCCCTAATAGAAATAAAATAGGTACTAAAAGAAATTATCTTCAGACATCTTTATGTCCATTGTTAAACTGATGAATAGTTGATTATAAAACAATGTAGCTATATAAAACAACGTAGTTTTGTAGACTGACAATCTAAAAATACACTAGCACATACTATATTCTCTGGCTTTACTTTAAACATCAAATGAATCTTGGCCTATGACACATTTCCTGTTTAATTATTTCTCCTTTTATTCAAACACTGTGAAGTATGTTTTCAAATGGATTGAAACTTTCCTGTAGATTTACTGTCAGCTTTCTATCTTTAGCTATTTTGAAAGAAGAGTCTTTGATACACTTAAAGTATCATTTAACCATTTTGATGTCTGAAGGAAACTTTTGAATCTCAATGTGAGAATGATAATTTATCCGGTGTCTGGTTTAAAGACATCTATATGTGGAATTATATTGGGAATACAGTGAATTTATAAGTGACACCTGTCAATTCGGGGGGAGGGAATGTCATTTTCAAATATTTTACAAAAAAAGACTAAAACATTTTTCTATTTCTAGTTATTGTATTTCTGTTCTTAGCAGTACTTAATCATAACTCACCTTGAAAATGTTTTCAGTACATTTTGCATTGCAACATTTCTTGCTATGTGCGTTTCTGTAAACCTCAGTAGTAAGACCCCCAGTTTATTATTTTTAAAGTAGTAATTTAAAGTGGTACCACATGAAGACAAAACCAAGAAGCTGCATTACTTTGTCTTGTAGCAAAGCATTTAATAAAGTACAGTATCAGAAACAGGATTCTATTAGAAAAGTGTATTTTGAATGCAATATATGTGATAGTTTGTTACATTTTCCCCAACAATGTTTTTTTTAAAGGTAAAAAGGTGTAAAGACACATCAGAGCATTTAAAAGATGTTAAGATTATTTAAAAAGGATTGGTGAGATAAGAACTAGGAAAGTGCAGGATACTTCTATTTCCCATTGCTGGGATAGAGATAATAACAAAGGTGTCTAGCAATTGTTTTTATATGCTAAAATGGCAAAAAATATCAAGTCTGCATTATGCCTTTGAATACTATGTTACTACATTGCTTGCACTGCTTTTAAAAAAACGATTGCTCCATTCTGTACATGCCATGGCCATGAGGGTTATGTACAAGGTTGTTGTTTTCTAGTTGCTTTTATCATATAATATTACCAAATGCTGTATCTGATGTCCCATAGTATGCTAACAGTCAGTCCTCAATTCACAGGAGAAAGCCGGGAAAATTGACATAAATAATATACTCTTATGAAAAACATGACACATTGGATATGAATTATACACAGTTTAAAAAACCCTTAAAATTTCACTAGCCTTAGGACTGAATTGTCCACAAGTCTTATTTAATTACGGGTAATCCTTGACTTAACAACTATTCAGTTATAACAGCATTGAAAAAAGTTGACTTGTGACCATTTTTCACACTTTAACAACCGTTGCAACATTCCCATGGTCATGTGATCAAAGCCAGGGAACCTGACAACTGGCATGCGTTTATGACAATTGCATTCTGGGATTACCATTTGTAACCTTCTTAGATTAGGTAGGTAGGCTGTCACTGAACAAGAGATTTATAAATCATTGACACCAATGTTTTTATCCTGTTTCAAAGTTTAAGCTAGTGCATGTCCAGTGAGAAGAAGTTAATATTCTCAACAGAGAATATTAAGTGAATATGCGTTGGGCTGCATTGAGTGAATATTGAGTGAATATGCGTTGGGCTGCATTCTTAATTTCTCTGTTGTATTCCTTCCCATCTCATATAAATGCAAATTCTTTTAATGACTGTTTAAACCAGGGGTGTCCAACCGTGGCAACTTTAAGACTTGTGGACTTCAACTCCCAGAATTCCTCAGCTGGCTGAGGAATTCTAGGAGTTGAAGTCCACAAGTCTTAAAGTTGCCAAGGTTGGACACCCCTGGTTTAAAATGTACCAAGGAATATGAGACTAGTATGTCTGCGGAATACATTAAGTTTCTCTTTTAAAGCTTTTATTATCCAGATGGTGCTAAAAGGATGTTTTCTGAGTTAGCAGCTGCACAAAAGATAAACCCAATACTTCTATCTAAAACATCCATTTATGAAGCAGGCTGGCAATTGTAACTATGAATTTCAGCACTGGTCTTGCCTCCTTGTTGAACTTTTTTGCCATGATCCTGCAACTGAAGGGATGGAGCTGTTCAGCTAGTCTTAGCCGATGAAAGCCTTCATAGCTTATAAAACCGCCCACCCCATATTTGGGGGGGGGGGGGGGTTCTCTCCCACGATACATAGCTTCGTCAGTGTCAGCTTCCAGCAGGACCGTGGAGATTTATCAAAATTTATTTCTCATTTGCTAGTTTTAATCCAAATTGCTTCTAAACCATTTTATCGGTGCAATTTATCAGGGCAATTTATGGGGAAAAACAAAACAAGTAAACATATAGGTGGTCCTCATTGAATGACCACTTATTCGGTGACCGTTTCAACTTGTAACAATGTTGAACTTACAACCAGTCCTCAAAAGTTTTGCCCAATGCAGGCGCCAATAGTCATGTGATTGTGGCAACATTCTGCGCCACATTATCACAATTTGCGACATCTTGTCTTTCACAAACAAAATCAATGGGGAAGCCAGCACATTGTAGTCACGAGAAGACCTTGCTAGATGACCATGGTCTTCACTAAATGACGGTAACTGAGGACTACCATAATGCTGTCACTAAGCAGTGCAACCACCTGACATGCTTTACAACCACACTGCTTAGCAACAGAAAATCTATTTCCAATTATTGAAATTAAGGGGCGCTATTTGGACTGTTAATGGAGAAATTAAGCAGAATCAGCCCATCTTCTGACTGGAATGCTCACTGCATGTCAATGTTATAAATTTGGAATCTCAAAACAAAAATAAATTGATTATTATAAGACAAACATAAGCCTCCTCAGGTCACATTCAGAACGAGAACTTAAATGCAGGATTTACTTCTCAAGAATTATTCAATGTGCAAGCAACATTTCCTAGGGAGGGGATGCAATACTCTGTGAATGTAGCCATTCTAATTTTTGAACTGCGATTTATGCCTCACTGCACTGTATGGAGCCCATCCAATTATGGCTTGATCCACAAACCATGGCTGATCAAACTAAACCAGCATTGTGGATTGTGACTTATGGCTTAGCATGTTGCTTTAACCCAATTGTGCCTTAGTTTAAATAAAATAAAATAAAATGTGTAAAAGCATATCTCCTGAAATAGAAAGGGAGCTTGGATCTTCAGTGTTAATTCAGGCCAAATTGAAAGTTTACAAAAATGAGGCGTTTATGAAACCTCGTGTTGCTAAACGATACTGCATTCCCGCAGTCCTAGCATATCACTTGTCCTATATATATATAAATGTCTGGTTCTAAGCACACCTCTAAGTTCAAGTACCTTGCTTCACCTCCTTTTTTACCCTTAGAAATGGTTATTCACATTATCTTTAAACTACTCACATCAAGAACTGTTCTTTATACATGCAGAGAAATAACACTTAACTAAGAACGATGGAGGAGGATGTGAAGGATAACCGTTGCTACTGTACCTGACCGTAGCAATACGGTGACAATACGGTTCTTTCTCCCTGTAAAGATTTCTTTTGAAGGCTGGTGCTGGGTTAAACACACAGCCACGACTTGATGGCACATGGATGGGGGAAGAACAAAGCAGAATGCGCAAACAGCAAGAAAATGAATATATTACAGCATTCCAACAATACTTTCTGGGACACGAAACAAGAGGTGCCACAAAAGAGAATGCAAAGGTGAGGTTCTTTGCAAGAACTGAGTGGACATAAACTGAGTTAATTCACTTGGGTTGCCCCTAGTAATGCCCTTTATCGGTTCCCCCCCCCCCAGAACAGTATCTCTTAAAAGCCATTTCACGATGAAACAAACTGGCTTTTTATCCAAAGTATATAATCTGAAAAGAGCCACTGGTTATATTAAGGGGGACATGGTGTAAGCAGCTGTTATACCCTGTTATCTATAAAGTGGGCGGCTCATTTACTTTAAGGGGGGGGGGGGCGATCAAAGTTGAGAAGAAACAAATAGGCAATTGTAGGGGGGGAGGTTTAAACCCAGATAAAATTTAGTACAATGGAGACAGAATACTTTCTAATCACCTCTTTTTCCTGGGATGCGGTGGGGAGAAAGAAATTTGTAGGTCTTAGAACTAGATGTGGGTGAAGCTAGACTAGAATTCCATACAGTCTTCGGGAGGTTTTTTTCTCTCTCTCTTTACAGGCTGCCGTAGATACGCTTGATCACATCTGCCTCTTCTTTATCCAGGATGCCCTTGTCCACGTAAACATCAGCTTGTTGGTCTATGAAATCCCGCAGTTTCGAAAGATCGTAATCTGAAATGGAAAGGATTCGGGCGTGAAGGTTCGTTCTCCGAGCTTGTGGGTTGAGTTTCCGAACGTTTCGTTACCAGGCTAGGTAACATTTTCAACAGAGTTTAGGGGAAAGGTTTTATATAGGCAGGTTCTCCTGAAATCCATCTATCTATCTATCTATCTATCTATCTATCTATCTATCTATCTATCTATCTATCTATCTATCCCCATCCATCCATCCATCCATCCATCCATCTATACACCCATGTCTGTCTTTCTGTCTGTCTCTTTCTCACTATCTCTCTACATCACCTTACATATCTGTCTGTCTGTCTGTCTGTCTGTCTATCTATCTGTCTATCTAGCTATCTATCTCCATCCATCCATCTATATACCATGTCTGTCTTTCTGACTGTCTCTTTCTCACTATCTCTCTACATCGCTCTACATCCATATCTATCTATCGATCTATCGATCTATCTATCGATCTATCGATCTATCGATCTACATCCATCTATACACCCGTCTGTCTTTCTGTCTGTCTCTTTCTCACTCTCTCTCTCTACATCACTCTACATCCATATCTATCTATCTATCTATCTATCTATCTATCTATCTATCTATCTAT